CCCCATCCCCCCCCCCCCCCCCAAAGCTCCCGTTCCTCGAGCCACCGGTCGGCGACAACACGGCGGAAAAGGCCCGCCTCACGTTGGCGGCGCACGAATCTGCCGCGCCCCCGGCAGGCCCCGCCGCCGCCGTGACCGTTTCGGCGAACGCCTCCGGGTTAGGGGTTGGGCGGTGCAAGCCTTCGAGGGCCAACACCGGCGCCGAGGCCGCGATGGCACCGTGGACGATGTGGGGGTACTTTAGCCTGAGCCACGAGGCTGGAAGGGAACGAACGGTGGAGCAAAGCACAGGTGCCGTGCGTGGTGATTGTTTCAGGGAGGGGCACCGTGGTCAGGGAGGGTAAGGGGCGGGGGGAGGTGATCGACGCCACTTGTACGTTCGGAGGAAAGTTGTAGGAAATTTGCAGAATCTACTCCGACGCAACGCTTCGGGGTAGAATGCATACAATGAAGCAAGTTGCAGCAAAAGCCGGGACACCAATTTACGGTGGCCGCGGCCCTAACACGTGGTCAAGTCTAGGCACAAAGCAACACAACCTTCCGTGTTGTAGCGCAGTTTGCTGCCGGCATAAACACCGCGATGGTCGTCTTGACACCGGTTGCATCTATTTTCCCCTCGTTGCAAGGAATACTGCCCAAGGGAGTGGGGAGCGGGCGAACGAAGCCTTGCCAAGATATATGTTCCTCGTGAATATTCTAGGTGGCGGTTCTAACTGACCGAGCATGCCTCCGTAGCTGCCCCCGAAGGCAACGACGGGGGCGCCTTCCGCTCCCAACTCTTGCTTCAGAGCCGTCACCAGACGAGCGTAGTCGGCGAGAGCTTGAGGCGTGCTGCGAACGCGGAATGATAAAAGGCACGCAGCAGTTGTGAGGTAAGTGACACACGGAGAGGGGCGAGCCCGCGTGCAAACACTATACACCCCTCCCGAAAAAAAAAAACGAAACTCAGTAGTAATAGTTGTACGGCAAAAACAGCTCAATAATCACGCCAAATTCATCACCAGATACCAAAAACAGAGAGACTGCCGAGCAGGATAGGATGTACGCAGGCATGCATGCACAGGTTTACCCAGCTGTAGCTTGCCTCAAGAACTCTCGTCTTTTGTCCGGCGCTCCGAACGGCAGCGACTCGCCGTAGAATCTGTGCTCTGCGAATACGAGGAGAGCGTTGAAGGCGGGGGCGTTCTCCCACATGAGCCCCGAGGCTTCGAGGTACAGCGACACGTCAGCCTCGTTTCCGGTCTGGACGACAAAAGAAAAGAGAAAACAGAGATCGAGACAGAGAGAGCCAGACAAAGGTAGAGAGACCGAAAGACAGACACAAAAACAAACGCGCGCACGCCTTGATCGCTAGTTCTATCCCCGACTCGTTCATCTCTGGATGAATAGATGCTCTTGTCTTGTTTCTGTAAGAAAAATGTAATAAAAAAAAAATGTGTTGGCTTGGTGGTCAGGGCTATCGTAGACCTCTCCACCGCTGTTGTGACATGCTCGCAATCGCAATAGTCCTATGCACATGTTCCCGTCGCCCATTTCATCCCATCCCACCTCGCAGGGCCACGAAAGAAGAACGCCTCCGCTTGCACTCCGCAAACAAATCATTCTTAAACGATCATTGGTTCTTCGTGTAGCGGTGCCGCATAACCAACAAGACACGGCGACGGCGGCGACGGTGGCATGAGCAATAGCGCCACTCATGGGTTCCTGTATTTCCCAAGCGTGCTTGCTCAATCAAGCCTAGCCTATACCGAGAAAAACGGAAGAGGAATTACCATCGTCTACTTCGAGTCGACACTCGACAAAAGAACGTTCCGCTGGTCGACGTTTCCACCTTCTTCAATCACGGAGCAAGACACACGACACGCGCACCGAGATACGTAGAAATCGTGTCTACGGAGATAGACTACGTACAAGTCATTCAACGAGTAACACGGCTCGCACACCGTCAGGGCACAGCGACAACCACAGCAGCAGCAACGCTGATGACGTCATTCCAACTCCTTCGTCTAACCTACCGCAAAAAAAGCGAACACAAAGAGGAGGGTAAAAGTCTCACGTAAAAAAAAATCGGCCCTGGCGCCCCCGGTGCTGCGTGCTCTCCGCCCCTCCCCGCCTCTCCCTCAACAGCAGCACCTCTGTTGCGTTTTCTCCCGCTGCTACTGCTGCTGCCACTGCTGGAGCTCGTGGAGGCGCCGTCTTCTTCCCCGCGAGGACTGTATTCGCTGCCTCCGCCAGCCGGTCCCCAGTACTCCCTGCAAACGAAGTAGCGCTGCTGGAAGGTGTTGTCGCCGTGATGCTCGGACACGGGCGTGTGGCGGAAGTGATCGAGCTATTCTTGAAAGGGGGCGCGCAGGAGAAAGCAAAAAATGCGGGGGGCACGCAGAGGAGGGTGCAGGGGGAGGTTTGCGGGTTCTCACTTAAAGACCGGTGGGGGGGCGGGAGAAAGTGGTGGTATGTTGGTAGTCTCGGTAGATACCCGTGCTTTTCACGGGACGGTGGCAGTGGGTCTCGCATCCCTTACTCCTTGTGAGCGTGCGGACTACCGCTAACACGTATTTGGAACAGCGTAAGCACCACGTCTGTCTTGAGATGTACTACCCAACAAAGGGAATGGTATTAATAGGTATAGTGTACCCTCTTGAGTTATTCCGGTCGGCACCGCCAAGATTCAAAAAAAGAAACATGAACATCGTGCGTTGCATCGACATACTCGTTTTGAGTGGCCAATACACTAGAGTCATTCAACGGCATACTTGGTCGTTTGATGAGGCAGGTCGCCTGTCACCGATCGTGGTTTGCTCGCACACATGCATGCATAGTTCAGCTTGAACAACCCCGGCAAGTTGAGTTATCGCAGGTACTTGGGAAGATCAGTTCCATTACAACCCACTTGCATCCCACGAAGTATTGCTGAACTGCTGTACTCAGGAACAGCAAAACTCGGCAATAACAAGCTTGTTCCATGGTATGCATACACCGGTAAAGACCCGTTTTCGCAACAAAACCGCACTTGCAGATGAGAACACATTGCCTGCAGACAAGACTAGTAGCGAGCACCCAGTCGTGACAAGCCTTCCCAAGCCCAACGGAGGGAGGGTACGGTAGGAGGAACAGCCGTCTCCGCCCACTCAACTATGCTAGGAGTTGGATTTGACTGGGGTTAGTATTCTGAGCGACTGCCGCGTTGACGACACGGAGGGCGTCAACGCGGAGGTAGTTATCCGGGGTGGAGTCTCCGGGCTTTTCGTAGCCGGAGGCCTCATTTTCATCCCAAACTCTATATCGTTGACAACTATCCCGCAAGAAAAGACCGCGAACGATCGTGGGAACGGCCAAGTGGGTGCACCGTCTGGAAATCGTCATCGAGACGCCTGGTGGCTGTTGCCCCCCCTCCCCCTCCCCCAAGCCGCCAGGTCGGCAATGCGCCACCTGCCCTAACCCTGACGCTAACCCTTCCCACATGGCAAGCATCTGTGCTAAAACTTGGGGGACTTGATACACATGGAGTGCTTTGGGCACACAGATCGCGTTTCCATTTGTCTGGAGGACATGGTAGTAAGTATCCCCTCCCCGCCTCCCCGGGTGTTTTACCATCAGGGTTGGGTTTTCGTCGCTTGGCAGCGATATTGTGAAACAAGCCGATCACTTCGTGAGCTCGGCAACCAGGTTACCGCTTTTTTATTGCCTTTGTTTTTTTTTTTGCGGTATTCATGAATGGTGTTCGAGTAGATTATGTTGTGCGGGGTCGAGAACCCTCACTCCGCGCAAAGGGTACAATCGCACCCCGTTGGTTAAATTAGTCAAGCACCCTTCTTTTTCCAATCGAGGGTTACCTCGCATAGCGTGTAGAGGCGAGCGGAGTGGCCCAGACTATCTGTCGTTGACTTCTATTGCCTTGCGGACCCTCCGGGTCCATTTTATTTTCGTATACCCGTTTTTGGGTAAGTTAGCCTGTGACCACAATCGACCCCGTCAAGTGTTAGAGTAGTACGGACAGAAGGAGGTACTGAGCAGAGGGAATGGAACGGTTTTCCATGTGAAGACAACAACAACAACCCTCAAGGCAGTTACACAGTGCTTCAACTGTCTCTGAAGGTGAAAGCACCAGAAAAAATAAATTAAGTCATAGTACGCAGCTGTCATCCGTACGCAGGGAAGTAAGCACAAGATGCCGCATACCCTTAGCAGGATGCAGCGCACCCTTCATGCGACTCGCCGAATACCTCACGGCGCTTCGCGCTCGGTGATGTGAGAGCCTGGTTCGATGAGAACCCGGCATGTTCCGTCCCGACATTGTAGGGATGCGAGGTCAATGGTCTATCGACTACGGCATGCACGACTATGAGTACAACCCCCCCCCCACAGTGGTGCTCGAGGAGGTATCTTTGTCGGCGATCGCCAGAAATTGCTTGGCAGCGCCGGAGGCCGAGCGGGGGTATGCTGTTCTTCTCCCGTCAAAAACACTCAAACACGCCGCCAGCAGTTTCGTGTCCATGAACACATCATTGCAATCGGCTTGAATGCTGTGCTGGGTAGAAGCCATGATCATCAGCTTTATCTCGTTTGATAACACGCTTGTCACTCACCGTCTGCGTGAAGAATCGTTCCTCGCAGTCCGCCGTGGACGGACGACGGCCTCCCGGCGGAAACGTCCTTCCTCCCAGTCCCGTTGGCACCCCAACGCCTCCTTGGTGCAAACCCAGCGGCGACAGGTGCGGCCGTCGCCAGCCCTGCTGCTGCGGCGAGGAAGGTTTCGGATGGAAAGTGTGACGAGAGAGTGAGATACCTGCCTTTTCAACAGGTTAAGAAACAGCTCACAACAACTACAGCTATACTACGCGTACAGCGGTAGGATGTAGTGTAATAGTCGCAGTCTAGGGTGGGATATATGTCTAGTCTGCTAAGCGACCGGTCTATACAGCAAAACAATATGCTCTTCTGACTGGACAGCTGGAATCAATCCTGTTTATCCCTCGCCATTCCCAATTGCCAGCAAAAACTACATCCCCTCCTTGAGTAGGGACACGCCGTGGTGTGCTGTTGTATGCTGCCATGGTATGCTGCTGCAGCTTTAACTTCCCTCGTGAACAATCGTGTCAGGTGTGTGTGTGGAAACCACCGCCGTATGTAAACTTGGGAAGTACTTCTGATGATTCCGACTGGAATCATCTTCATTTACGTGTAATCTACCCTTCGTCCCCTACTCCGAGGAAAAATACTCCTCCCAAACATGGAGCGCACACGGGTGCTATGCTCTCAACGAACACACACGCGACGTGTAATCTAATTTTCGTCCCTACTATTGCGAGAAGAGACCGACCGCGTGACGTGACATGTTGCGGTCGAATTTCAACGACTAATTTTTCTGTTGCCCTCTCCCTCGTTTGCTGTCGCGTTCAGACTGTCTCTAGGGATATCCCTGTCTCTGTGCGAGAAAAGTTTGTGTCCTCGTCTTTGCTTTATTCTGTTTTATTTTGTCTTTTGTTTTGTTTTTTACTGGCACGTACCCCCGCCCCTTCCTTTGGCCGTCGACCTGCCTCCATGTGGTGGGAGGCTACCCCCCCAGGCTGGTGGTGCGGCCGTTCCACTAGTCTAATTATTTATTTTATTTTATTTTATTTGTTTCTGATCATATTTTGTTTTCTTGTATTTTATCGCTCTGCTGACCCTTGGGGTCCATTTTATTTTGGTATACCTTTTCTAGGTACGTTAGCCTGTGACCACGGAAATTGGCCGAGTCAAGTGATGGATTAGTACGGAGAGATTGAGACAGAAAGGAGGTACTGGATAGAGACCGGGATGTTTTTTAATGTGAAGACAACAACAACAACAACAACTCCGAGGAAAAACACTCCTCCCATAGAGCGCACACGGGTGCTATGCCCCCAACTAACACACACGCGACGATCGGTAACCTAACAACGTCATAAAGGAACACGATATGGGGTCGGACCTGTGGTAGACTACGTTACAGCAGTACGTCATTCCTCAACACACTGCTAGCTTGTGAGGCCTGTTGACCCGCGCTGTACAAGTAGACTGCTGTTCTTCGGGTAAAATGTATGTGGTGTAGCTAACCAACTATACAGGAGTACATGAGAATCAGCAGGCGGCAGAATGTGTATGCAGTCGGCATGCTGTAGCCGCACGCGCGACGCTGACTTCAAAGGCAAAACAAAGCACGACGGCGTACAGCGGTGTGTCGGTGTTTGTTCCGAAGATTGGTGCGGTACACATACGCA